GTCGTACAGCTGTTACGCTATGCAAGAGAGCTGATAGAACGAAACCGTGGCTTTCACGATTTCAACTTTTCTTTATACTATACCGACTTGCGTTTGTGTTTAACGGCACGTTGCTGTTAAGAATGCATAGAATAAAATATTTCAAAGAGGATACATCTTTTATTTAATATTTGTATTACTCTCGAAAAAGCAAAGTACGAATGTCTTTTCCACTGTTTACAAAATTTATCACTTCTCTCATAATATATCAATGATAAATAATGGTTTCGTCTTTTTGAAAGCAAATATTTAAATGTAAATAAGATTTCCAGAGCAGCATAGCGAATAAAGTCAAAATCACAAACGTACCATTGAAAACCAAAAATGTGCGGATTAAATTCGACTCTGAAAATTTTAGCAGAGATGCGACGCAATAATTTACTTGGCTCGAAAAAGATGCGTCCGTGAAATTCAACACAGAAACGCGTGTGACATTGCGAAATAGAACAAAATCGTGCCCGCATCGTGTTTAAAAAATGTTCGCGACAAAAGTAGGTTTTGTGGCCGACTCTGTGCGACCGAAACATGATTTTTACACGCGATGCACATTCGAAGATGTTGAGCTCGCTATTGCGTAGCTAGAGAATTCGATAGAGAATTCCGCGCGTGGACGGATCGCATTGAGTTTCAAGCAGATCATTGATAAACGAAAGGTGACACTGTGTGTGTGGTATGTTTTGTGATAAGCAATGCTCTCTTGGAACGACGTCTCTTAATCGCACTGACACCAAAACTTATATTCCGAGCGAACATTTTTATCACCCACGAATTTAGGCAGCAAGTTAATTGGAAATTATATTATTTTTATCTTAAATATTTGTAAAAAATTGTTTTAGGGGTTTATTCCTCTCGTAATATCATAATAAAAAATATTATACATATAATATTATACAATATTGTTCTGAAAAATTCAAACCATTTAAAAAAAAATTGTATTTTTACTTTATTATTCTTTCGATCAAGAAACTAAGTATGTATATTAAAAAATTCGAGTATCTACATGTAGTCTTAAATAACAATAAGTTTTGTTTGAGGACTAAAGACGAAAACGATTATAGAACTTCTACTGTGCGAATCAAATATTGATAATCGTTGGACTATTATCGTGGCTCTGAAAGTAGCACATCCTGCTCTTTGGCGTATGTATTTCCAGAAAGTTTCCTGACAAATTTCTCGAATACTCCTTCCACTGGCTGACTCATCCACTACGTCACGCATGAAACATACAGGGTGAACCAAGCTAAATTTCGTATTGTAGATTCGACAATCTTCTCGCAGTAGAAAAGTATTTATTTAATCATCTTCAAGTTTTTATAAAAATATCTGCGCAACAAAGCCGCATAAAATTTGTCAGACCAATGTTGCATATATTATTTAATATTTTTACGTTAATATTATTAGAACGTTTAAAGAGTGTAAAAAAAAATTTAAGATAATTTTCGAAAAAAATAACTTGGTTATCGAATGATAAGAAAAATAAAATTTAATAAAAATCAAAATCTCTGGAAAAAGCCATAGCCCTGATTCTTTATTTCCTATTATTTTTCTAGCTCAAAATTAATTCATCAGAGTGCTCGAAATTTGTCTCAATTTCCTTTTTCTAATTACAGTCTTTATAAAAATTAGTTTAATTTCAATCGAATGTGAGATTAAACGATAGCAAAAAGTATCCGAGACACCCTATATATGTATGTAGGCCGCACACAAGGCACGGCCACGCGAAGTCTCTCTTTCTCTTTCTATCTGTTCTCACCCCTGTGTGGGGAGCTCTCTGTCTCTCCTTCCTCTAAAACCCTCCTTCACGTAGTAACGGAGTGTTCAGTGGGAACCGGCTTTTCCCGTTGTACAACGCATACACGCCGTTGTTCGCAACTGTTACGTACGTGTCCCGCGTACGTACGTACAGGATGGTACGAAATAGTAGGGCGAAAAGAACCCCGTGAGAAAAGGAGATTGGGGGTCAGACTGTGCCACGAGGTAATCCTCGAGAAACATCCGACATTCTCACTCTCAATTTTCTGCCGATACTTTCTCTTTACGGAAATTGAACTTCAATTATAATGACATGCGATCAAATAAAAAGAGCTGCTTTATCAAGTTGTTAAAAAATTAAAATATTAATCGAAAGAGAGGTTAATAAATTATATTCAAGGAAATATACAGGGTAAAAAAGTCTATTGGGATAAAACGTTTCTATCGATTTACATTAATATGTTAGTACATATATATACATAGATTTATAACATGTTAACATGCTAACATCAATGTTTTAGCTATTAGCGCTGAATAGCAGAATCTAACTCGAAATTGACGAAAATAAATACTAGCTTATTAAATGTTAATTAACACCTAATTGAAAGCGCAGACTGATTCGCATATGACATATTTATAGTCCAGCTTTTAACTAGAGCAAAAATATTTATATTGGAAATTTTTAAGAATTTTTAAATGACAGATACATTGTGATTAAAATTTCTATCAAATAAATATTATATAATATTTTACCTAGATAACATTTCGCCGCTTGTGCGCGCAAAATAAGATTTCCCAAAATCAACGCGCTGAATTATTTCGCTCAACATCAATCATAATTAAATGTCTGTAACGACTGTGAATGAACCGGGAGAAAAACAACACGAATATAAAATGCCCTTTCATTCATTCTCCCTTGCAGCTTAGATCTCATTGACTCCAGAATGTATTTCCTTGCAAAAAGTTTCTTCGCAAAGTTTTTTGCAAATCCTCCAAAGTTTATTTACGAATAATCAATAAAAGAAATGACACACTTTGATATAACTATTATACTCGGCGATTGCCCCGTTCTTCATTTCGACTCTGTGTGGCTTTCTTCGTTTTCACGTTTCCCTCTCTGTATAATTTTGCAAAACAATCCCTCTTCATCGTCCGAAGATGATCGTCGGCAGAACGTCAACATGGAAGATACGAACCAGCTGAATCTCGAAAGTAGAGAAACTTACTGCTCGATCTCTGTCGAGAGAGTCGAACGGTTCCCGCTTGTGCGCGCAAATGCAAATGTTTCGACCTAACCAAACGGATAGACAAACGCACCACCAAGAATTTCACGGAGGTTTTCTTTCACCGTTTTCTCATATCCGATTCAAGATTCGCCCGCGAATGAAAGATCACGCGCCACGCAGGACGCTAGGATCGTTCCCGCTCGCATTATATAATTTATACGCAAAATGAGTTTGTCATTGTAGAAAGAATATCTCAACTTTCTCACAACTAACGATAAGTCAAAGAATTATTTGAACGAGAAATTGAAAAATAGGGAAAATATAAGAAAATCATTTCATAGATCGAACAAAATATGTGTTCTAATAAAATTTTTTTTTTAATTAATTTAATAAAAAAAGAGGAGGGGAAATCGTTCTTGTTTCCTGGAATTTATTATGTCATAATTGAAATTATATCGATGGAGACAATATTCGGATTCTTTTCAGTCGTAATATTCCTTGTGTGAGAATGTCTGATATAATTATAATAATTGTAGAAACTTTTTCATATTTCTAAAAAAAAAAAAAAACTGTGGTTTTTTTTACAATGCATGTTCTTTTAACAAAAAAGTTGCTTTTACGCGTGCACGGGAACTTTTCTCGCATCCTGTATATATATTTCGCTGCGATTGAACGCTGGATTTAATTGATTTTTCCCTATTTTTACGTTTTCTATTTTCTTAGGGACAAGAACCTATAAAATCCTAAATTACCTTATATATCCTTTGTCCCGCTCTTCCCAACAAATCTTTTTTTGTGATACTCAAGCGCTTGAAATTCGTAGAGCACGTGGCAATATCTTTGACGGTCGAATTTTTATATTATTTCATTAACAACACATAGATTCAAGAATTTGAGAAAACATATTTTAGTAGAAATTGAGAAATTCGTTATATTTTGGAGTATAGTATAAATCTCAAAATAATAATTTATGAACTTAACTAAATAAATAAACCTATTAAGTTACAATTTTTTTTTGCAACATTACATACACATTAAAGAGATTTTTTACATTTTTCGTAAAAAAATGGATTAAAATCTTAATATCAAATTCCTGCGCGTTATCTGATATTCCTGACTTCTCCGATATGTCAACGAAGATGATTGATCGGCTCGGCAAAGATACTGCTATCGTTAATTACATTTTAGTTTTACTTTAGTTTTATCATAAGTTACATGAATCTTAAGTCAATGTGATATGCCCTGTCTTATGTTGTATGATTTCTTTCTTGAAATGTGTGTGCTTTTCCGTTTTGTGTCTTTTTTGTTCCGTTGTGCAAAGAGAAAAAAATAAAGTGCACACATGGGTTCAATCTTAACGAAATACAGCGCCGAATTCTTGCTTCTTTTCGAAAATGATATCATTTGTTTCGATCGCCGTCCGAATTGCTTTTTTTTAACGCCGTTCCTTTTCTGGCTCGCAAAATATATAAACGCATCTTATTTAAATAAAAAAAAAAAAAAAAAAAATGTTAAATTCCAAATATCTCCAAACGAATCATCAAACACGAGATTTCCGGTTTCAGAGGAAACATTTAAAGCCCTTCGAAATTATTGGATTCTCAGATCTTTGGATTCGCGACTCGTAAATTTCTAAAGTTGTGAAACTCGTCGGATTTTCAGATCTTACCTGGGATGTTTTACTCTATTCCATTTTGTTTACATTTGCGCTCGAGTCTGGTGTTCTTAAACTCGAATCTCGTTTCACAGAGAGAGAGAGAGAGAGATTGTTTGTACTACAATTACCGATCGTCGCGACTAATTGAAAATTTGTGACTATTTGCAAACGCGAGCGAGAAAAGGAAGGGAAAGGACGGGATCTGTTCTGAGCAAGAAACAGAGAAAGAAATTATAAACGCGGGCTAAATTGGTTCTCGACGATACCAAATGTAAGACTGATGAGAAGTGTAAACGCAAGGTGTGTGTCTATCGGTTTGGTTTTAGCCCTGAGCAACTGCTCTGAGAGCGGAGGCGAGGCGGACGCGATGCTGGACATGCACCATCCAGGAACCGGGATCGACTCGCATCATCCGCAGTTTCACAACTCCTATGGTAATATAAAATTCATCATTAATAATCATTAATTCTTCTTTCTTTCTCTTGCGCGCCCGCTGCGCGTTCGCTCTCTTCCTTGCGTTTCTTTGAGTTTTTCTTTCCGCGTGCTTGACATATATTAAACGATATATAAGCATTCATCGATAACACACAATGGACACGTATACACGCAAGTGAAATTATTCTTCTTACTGTTATATTACACTCGTTTTCTTATTTCGAATATATATTTTCTAATTTAATTCCGTTTGTTGGATGAAGCATTCGAGAGGGAAATTAATTTAGAGCGTGCTTTTAACGTTTCTTCGTATTTTTCAATTTAACGAAAAAGAATAATGCAAGCTTCTTCCTGCAAGTCCTTTAATAATTCTCAAGTACAAATTGGGTCACGAATTTCCGTCATTGAACCGAACGAAATTAATAATGACGGCAGCTGTTCGACATGAGACTTTAAAGAGCTCTCTTACTCGGCGTGTCGGGATTGATAGATTCCATCAATTTCGATGTCGATCCGCGGTTTTTCGAGCATTGCCTTAACAGCGTTACCGTTAAACTTGTTTGCGGGAATACGTTATTATGTACAAGCGGGAGAGCGAGAATATCTCGCAGAGTTTTCGCGACGTTATTCGTCGTATCTATGTGCAATAATACCGCAGAGTTTCAGAGCGCTTCTTCAATTTATTATAAGCATCTTCGTGTGCCGAGTTTCCCCCGAAATCGTATATCAAGGGAGCATTAAATTAGAGAGCACGCATATAAAGCGCTTAAATTAATTATCTATATATACACATCCAACTTCAATTTTCTCAAATAAAATTCCGCATCATTTTTCGTTAATTTATCATTTTTATCCTCTTTGGATTTTCCTCGAATGCGAACGCGCGAGCGTTTTCTAGGAAGTCATCGTCACATTTACGAGAGAGTTTAAATTTAAGAATTTAAATTTTACATTTCACTTCCTTTTTAATTCGACGATCGAAGGACGGAAGGCATAGACATCGCGATTCGAATTTGACTCGCAGCCGAAACAGATGTCTCGATGATTAAATGAGGAATAGCTCGCCTTATCCGGCGCAATCGAATTAATTAATCGGCCCTTCGCTTTATATCGATCTAATCCGTTTCAGGGGACCGTTGAATAATATGCGACCCTAATCGAAGTCTCTCGCGGAGATTCGAGAGCCGACAGACGTGAATTTTAAATAAATTCCAGAAGAAAGCGCGTCTCTCTCTCTCTCTTGATTGCGACACTTTGAACCGATCAGTTTGTTAAATTAATTGACATGACTTCCGATAGATTTTTAAATCAATCCGTCGTGATTGAGTTTATAGACGTATTTATAGAGCCGATTCGATATGCATTTCGTGTCTGCGACATTTGGCTGTTCGCCTAATATTTTTATTCGCTCACCTAATCAGAAAAATAGAGATCAGAGAGCATTTTGTTCAGATCCAAAGAAAGCACATTTGGTAATAAATTTAAAATCGATCCTTTATCCGTTTATTAAAACTTCCGCTTATTTGAAAATATCGTTTTTCTGTTGGAGTTTCAAATTTTGATAACGCTATACATTAAGAATCTATGAAAGTAGATAATTAATATGTCAAATATGATGCAGACATTCGTCAACTTTGTTAAATATTCCAATATTCATATTACGATTTTATTTTCGCGAAACGGCAATTTACAAAATCATGAATTCTTCGGAACACAAGGCGGATCGGAGAAAGAGAGAGAAAATTCGTTGGTTTGGATATTATTATTATTATTATTATTATTCAGCCGGAAAAGATCGCAGAGTCGCTCTCACGAGAACGACCGAGTTTTCGGCAAAGAGCGAATTAAGCGGCAGTGAGCGAGTTCCGATCTGAACTTTCGGAAACAACAAATCCGCCGGGGCTCTCGCTGATTGAACGCGGCTTCGTGCAGAAAGCGGAGACACTACCGGAAACTCGAAAAAGAAATTAAAAAAAAAAAATAAAAACTGGAAAAAAAGAGAAGAAAACCGAGGGAAAAAGCGAGCAAGATCGATGCGTCGTCGTCCTGCGAGTCCTCGCATACATCGCGAAGGTATATCAATCGAACGTAATCTCCCTTACTTCGGCGGCTCATTGAAATCCCACGCTAAATTTCAATCTGACGTGTACAAAAGTCGGGCCCTTTCCCTCCGTCCCATCTCGATTCGATGCTTCGAGACTCCTCGCTATATCGCGGACATAGGACTCGAGCTTCAGGCAACGGTCCATTTCCGCGATCCTCATCTTCCCCGATTTTCTCTCCTCCCTATATACGACGTCTGGACCAACGTATGCGTATATACGGTGTGTCCCGGAGACCCTCGCGGGATCTAGAATAAATTTGCAAAGTTGAATATTCAAATTTATATATCGGCTTCTAAATATTTGAACGACAAATTGATATATAAACTTATGGAATTACTCATCCCTAGGACTCGCGGATTCAAATTAAAGGAAAATTTGGAATTTTCATTTATTCGAAATTGATATGTAACATATGACGGAAAATTTGTATACAATTTTATATATAAAGCATATTTACAATCACGATTTGTGAAGAACGAGAAAAAATTGTGTTTATATTTTTTCATGCAGTTTAATAGAATAAAATAAATAATTAAGTATTTATGCGGACATTTAATAATAATGTACAAAATTTTATTATATAATTTTACATTACATTCTAGATTAATAAAACTGCATGTTTAATGCTTGTGTCGTTGAATCCTCGAAGCTTGAAATTCTATAATTGCTACTTTGCATTTTAAGATTTAAAAAAAAAGAGAAAAATTGTGAATACGCATCTCTTGAATAATTTTTAAACAAGCTTCTTCAAATTTTAAAGTTGACGTCACATGCCCTAAATTTCCCATCGAAAAGAAACGATGATTCTACACACACCCTGTAGGTCTATAATGTCTCCCCTCTTTTTTTTCTGTTAAAGTCCTTTTAAATCCCCCTCGCTTCTCTCCTATTCGCGGTGCATCCCTAACGTCCGTTTCCCTCCAATATCACAAATGTCATGATATCGGTTTGTATACACACGAATAAGATGAATACATAGGGCGTATCTAATTAAACTTGGGAAAAGCGAGTTAGAAATTTTCAGCGCCCGTAATAGATGGAGAAAGAGAGAGGAAGAGCTTCCTTATCCTCTTTTCACGATACTCTATTAAAATCACAACCCTTAAAAGCGTTTCACTTTACATGTGTCAAAAGTCAACAAATGTTTAATCTCGTAGTAATATATAATATGTAAAATATAGAAAGATCATGTATCGCATAATTGACAATAATAATGGCATATTATATTAATCATTACGTATAATAATTTAATCAAACGAATAATTAGCTATACGAATATTTCGATATATATATGTATATATATATATATATATATATATATATATAGAGAGAGAGAGAGAGAGAGAGAGAGAGAGATTCTGCTCCCAGGAGATAAATAAAAATGGCGCGACAGATAAGGACCGTCTTTTTTTAAAGGCAACGAGTGCTCTTTTTCTTTCTGCCACCCTCACATGATCCCAAAAAGGGCTCGATTCTTTTTACATGATTTTCGTACGCTTCCTTGACGCTCTCGCGGTTCAAGTATTTATTGTCCGGCGACGTTGAAAGGCTTCGATGAGATGAAACAAGGGGGTGACGGCTGAAAAGGAGGGGGAGGGAGATACGACGGCTTTTGTTCTGCGCGGATTGAAATTTAGCGTAGAATTTCAATGAGAGAGAAAAATAGAGAGAGAGAGAGAGAGAGAGAAAGAGTCGCCGAGGAGAAGCGCGACGAGATTACCCATCTCAGCTGCTTCGACGTAGAACTCGCTCATTCCCGCCATGTTGCCTGATTTATGCATGAAAGGGGCGGCATCTCGCAGGCCGGCGATCGGCCTTTTTCTTTTCCTTTCATTTTTCCCCGCTCCTTATTTTTTCATCGCTATCACCGGCCCGATCGAATTGTTGTCCGTTATTAGCCGAGCCTCTGTTATCGGAGTGGAATTTCTCTCGTTGACACGCTCAGAATTTTTTTGCAATTGATATTAGCTGTACATATTTATACATTTTTATATTTATTGCAAAGGAAGATTGAAACTTTAGTTTCTCGCGAAAATAAAAATTCTATTCAAACGCTTCGTGTCTTAATCGATCGATAAAGAATTTTTCTCTTTGTGATGATTCTACATTTTTAGGACCGTTCAAAGTTCCACAGCATGAGCTTTTTAATCACGAATTCGAAATTTGCACCGTAATTACAAGTATCGAAAAAAAAAAAAAAAAAAAAAAAATATCGATAGAAATAACACAGAGCTTGAAAATCGCGATTCATCAAAGATGACGCAAAGAAGTCTTTCCTCGCGAGCGATGACACATGTATTAGTCTTGAAATAATTTTCTGAAGAAACTCTCGCGTCTCGAAGAAATACAGAGCGGCGATGTTTATTTCGTCTCGTTGTTGCAAAACAACGAAACGGGGGCAGCATCATTTCCGCCCCTTTCCACCCCGTTCCGTTCGCGATATCCTATGCCGGCTTTATTTCGCTAGGTAAAATCCGGTCCCCCGAGGGCGAGATTCGGCAGAGTCTTTAAAGCCGGTTCGATGGGAATGGGATCCTCGCAGCGTGGCTGCCTAAACAGCTCTTCGTCGAGCTAATTACCTCGTTACTAATGAAACTAATTGCTACCCTACTAGGCGCGCCTTTTGATCCACCGTCGTTTAAAGATTTCGCCAAAATTCAACCCTCTCGTCTTGTCAGTCGCACGCCCACCTGTGTAATGCAGCACTTTCCGCATTCAATTTTCCCCATTCTATCTTATATGTCAATTTAAAACAATAATTTTACTTTGAATTTGTTTAACAGTATTTTTGATCTTTAATTTTATGCGAAGAAAATAGTAAGAAATAAGAAAAGTGTTGATGTGCATTACTCTTTATAGTTAAAAGTTAAATAAGGGTGAAGGACAGTTTTATT